GGTATTATTTATTAGACTTCAATCAACCATAACGGGAAAAAAATGGTGAGAGATTCTTATATCGGATCGGTATTCGAAATATTGTCTTTTTCACAGCACCTCCTAGCGGTTCCCGAATTTCTTGAGTTTTTTCTGTGAAAACCAAAAATACTTGTCATGTGTTCCAAAATATCCCAAAAGACCAAAAATTTAAATTTTTCAGTTGGTTTTAGGTTCCGGCACAACGCCTCTGCCATGCTCCGAGGCCTACGGCGACGTCTCCTTTCGTCTAGCTAGTTTTGGCCGATTTTGGCCACTTTTGCGTGAAAACCTACAAAAAAATGAGGATAGATGATCTCTGTTGACAAAAAAAAGGAAAATCAAAGCATTACCAGTTGAGGAGTTTTCCAGTGCGGCGGTTCTGCCGTTCTTCTCTCGCCGTGAATTTTCTTCAGTAGACCTGCACCAGAAAAAGATTAGGGACAATTGTAGCGCCCGGGGAAATTTAAGAAGAAGAGAAAAAAAAAACGCGTGCCACGTCAGCAGCCACGTCAGCAGACCCAGTCAGCAGTCCTGGCCAACCAGGACCTGACACGTGGCAAAATCACGTCGACCGGGGACGGGCCACGTTGGCGATCCGCGTGCGCGCGATCGGACGGCCCAGATCAATTGCGCGCACGGACAGCCCAGATTTAATCGTACGGACGGCCCAGATTTAATCAAAAACGGACGGCCCAGATTAAATCAAAATGGACGGCTGAGATCAAAAGGAAAAAGGGTATAAATAAGACCCCCACACCAGACCCCAAACCCTAGCCGCCTGCCCTCGCCGGAGAAGACGAACCAGAAGCCGGCCGCCGCCACCCGCCGCCGCACCGGAGGGATTTCCGACCGCCGATCGAGGTAAATTTCATACCCCCGACTCGTTTTTCCACACTGATTTCCCCAGTGGCCAAATCGGAGCCAAAATCCCGGCCAAACGGCCGAAAAACACGGCCGAAAGCCAGCGGCGCCGCCGCACCCCTCCTCGGTTTTTGCCTTCGATGAGGCCCTTCCCGGCCTCCGTTTAATGCAATTTTTATACCACCGTGATCATCATTCTTTTCTTTACAGGTTGATCGGAGCCGAATCACCAAAACATGAACTTCACCGGAGAGCCGCCGCACCCGAGAGCACCACCGCCGGTAAGCTTCGATTTTCCGTAAATTTTCGGCCCCCCGAGGGCCGTAGGGTTGTTTTATCGCAGGAACCAATGCGAGTGTGGCCGAATTCGGCTGAAAACGGCCAACCTGAGGCGAATCGCCGTCGTCGGAGCATGGCGGAGCCGCCGTGCCGGAGTTGCGATATTGGCCGAAAGGGGCCCTAGGCCTAATTTAGGATTTTTTGGAACACGTGCAGGTACTTGTAGTACGTTTCAGTTCCCCGGGAAAAATTCAGGGAAAATTAGGGACAGTGTGCAAGCGCACTGTGAAACCGTGTTCGGACCCCGAAACGAGTAAGGACCCCTCACCCTATTTCCTATCACGGTTTTAAAGTTCAATAAATGATAAAACGGTATTTCATGAATCAACGAATGTGTGAAATTATTTAAGGTCGCTAATGGAGCCCGAGTCTAGTGTGTTTGTCGGTTAACTGTTATTTGACATGTTTTACAGTTTTAAATGCAGTATGAGGTTCGATGTTTTTATTTTATAGTTTCGTGTGCATATTTTACTGTTTTATTGATTATGGATTGAATGACTGGGATATTGATGCTATATATTGTCTGTTTGGCATAAATTATCGTTTTACTTATTTGTATGTGATTGATAATGCTGACTGAGGGAAAAGGAGAATGAAAGATTATGTAAATGGAAAATTGTATAATGTGTTCAGCCTGACTAGATATCCTGGGAGATGGTGGACGGACCGGGTCCGTAGGGAACCCTACCGGGATTGTGGTCTCCCATACCGGACGGGGTATAGAGATCTTATGTGTTTTGGCGCCCATACCGGACGGGGTATGGGGACGGCCCGTTTCACCCTCATACTAGATGGGGTAATGTGGTTTATAGTTTGGCGCCCATACCGGACGGGGTATGGGGACGGCCCTGGAATATGATTTCAAGTGTTAAGGGTTAACGGGTAGCGGGACCCCTATGGATCCCCATAGATACTAGTGGGCTGGTAAATGAGGAAAATATGTTGTGTAACGATTGAATTACGAAAGGCTTGATAAGTATTATGTTATACAGTTTATATATGATTTCATGATGATGATAATGTTATTGCTTTCGTATACTGTTTTATGAATTTCACCGAGGTAGGTAGATGGTGAAGGATTTATTATTGATAAAAGAATTTGTTGTAAATTATGCTCCATTGGTCTTTTTGTGTTTTCTACCCACCTTTACCTCCGTGACGGTGAGATATCGTGATGTCTTTACTGGGCTAGTGTAGCTCATTCCTTATTTAATCATTTCAGATCAGGAAGACATCGTTCCCGAGCCGGTTCCGCAGGAGGACGACGAAGGGGACGCCTAAAGACTCCATAGTCATATTCGTAGCTTTTACTTTCAGTTTCTCCTTTAGGTAGTTTGATCTTTTATATTTTGTGAGCACGTTTTTGGTTTTAGTGTAAGGGATATTATTCAAATTTTGACTTCGCTTCCGCATTTGATATTTTTAATATACATTTCATTATGAATTTTCGGGGCTGTTTCAAAACGAACGAAAGATTAAAAGGAATGAAAAACGGTACATCAGAGTAATTTTTTTATCACGGCTGCGGCGACTCAGCCGAGTTTTGCTCTTAGTTTTTGGCTTCTCTTTTGCCTTTTTGGCACCGATATGGGTGTAGGATGCTTGAAATCAAATTTCAAAACGAAAGAAAAAAAAAACTTACCTCTTCGGTGTTGGCAGCTGCCCCGGTGCAGCAGCGACGACAGTCGACTTTCCTTTCGGCTGCCCTTCTTTTTATTCTCCGACGGGGTCGGATGCCACTAGGGTTAGTATTTTTGGGAAAAGATGCTTAAATACTCTTTCTGTTTCGATCTGGGCTGTCCATGTAGGGACACGTGTCCCACTCTCAGTCGTTGGATCGTTCTTATTTGAAAAATTATTCTTGGTCACACAATCAGATTAAATATAGTAGTTTAATCACGATTGAAGATGAAACTGATATGAGTCGTCTGTGTGCGCGGGAAGAGATCTGGGCCATTGGATCTGCTGGCACGCGGATCGCCCACGTGGCTTCCTACATGGATGTGTGTCTGCGTATCTGCCACGCGGCGTACAGTAATCGGCCATGCTACTAATGTGGCGGTCCACATAGCTACATTTTTGTTATTTTCACTTTTACCCAAATTTTTCAAATTTTTTTTCAAATATGTTCTCTCTTATTTCTACTTTAACTCTGATTTTTTAAAATATTTTCAAATACATTTAAAACATAATTTTCTTCAAAAAATTCAATTAAAAATTAAAATTAAAATTTTCTAATTTATATTATTATTATGGTTTAATTATCCTGGACCTAAATTCTAGGCCCAGGTGTTATAAAGTGTACAAAAAGATCGTTGACATTTTCGTACATCTTTAAATCGAAAGATAACCTCTTCTTTCTTGTGCTCCAAGAGATCTCATATGAAAAGATCTCTTATTAATTGACCAACTTTTTTTGACAACGCTTCTCTTTGGCGAAGTAGTTAATCGAAAATACAATGATGGAAATATAAAGCATAGCAACACTATAAATAACATTACCACACATAAAATCATGACATTACGAAAACCATCTCTTAGTTTTGGATTATCTTGTCCAGTCCATGGAACTCCCCCTACATTCATACCAAAAACTGTATGTACATGAAAGAAAAAAAGATATCAGATTATTGTGCAAATGCATCAAATTATTACATAAAAAAAAAATTATTAGGATTTAAAAGAACGAGAAAGAGAGTTATACCTCCAGTTATTACGGATAAAGGAAGAAAAATTATCGAAAGATAGGAAAGATAATACAACTTCTTATTTATTTGCTCAGCTTGCCAACTTTCAAGACCAGCTTGAATTACCGAGACATGATTTGCAATAAACCCTACATTTTCTTTTAGCCTTCTCAATTGTCCAATTAGCTCTTCTAAAGAGTTAATGTCTTCACTAGAAAACCATTGTTTTGAAGCGCATTTTTCTTTTACTCGAGGAAATACTTGCTCTCCATAAGCAATGACCTGTGAATTAAAGGAGAATTAATACTAAAGTTAACAAGATGAAGTGCAAATAATTTTTTTTTTGTCCTTAAACCCTTTAAGTAAAGAAACAATATTTTGTACTATATTTTGGATGATTATGAAGGCACCAAAATTTCAAAGCCTAACCAAATTCTTGCAAAAAAAAAAATACTCCTTAAAACTAATTAAAGAACTTTTAAATAACAAGAATGACAAACTACCTGCAATATGCGTTGTATATCAAGGTGAATTTTTGGAAATCTTCGATCATCCAACATCTTTTTCTTCAAAGTAAATCCACCTAATATTAAACAAAACTTAGATGACATAACACGAGTTGATAGTAGTTCAAATCAAGTCAATTTTAGTAGTTTTTTCGTATAATACTAAAGTACTAATACGAACATGAAAAATACAAAATAACTACATATTATATTAATTAAATGCCAAAAATTTGTTAATGTTCACATTATTTTAAAACTTGACAATAAATACTCTTACCTTTGTCCATTTCTAGCTCAATCGAGTCCAACTCAATCTCGAGTCTGGTGACGGTATCTTGAAGATGATCCACGTGTTTGTCGATGATGTGAATAACAAGATTCGACACAGATTTTGGCACTTGATTATCAACCTCTTCAGAATGATTCGTTGTCAACAATAACTCTAAAACATGGTCCCCAATCACTACCCCATTCTCTTCCCTAATTTCCTCTCTTTTTCTAAAACTAGGAATTTCGGATAAGAGAGATCGACTTGTTGGCTTGAAATCTAATCTAGGAACACGTCCTAATGAGACAGTAATCACCAAATGCTCGGTAACTCTAGCTGCAATTCTGAAAGTGAAATTACTAGAAGGAGGGCCAGGTGAATTAACCCTAAACACAAGTGCTCCATTGACATATCCACAAAAGGGTCCGTTACTAACAAGTGAGAGAATGTCTTGAAGCTTTAAAGGGGGGCAAAGGACATCTATTAAGTGTTTTGCATATTGAGAAAGTTTCTGATTTCCTTTAATTAGCTCTACATGATACCAGCAAAATTCTTGCCCTGTACCTTCAACAATATCCCATTCTTTGTTCAAGTATTGCCCAAACCCATCAAATATATAGCTTCTTTGCCTCAGCACGTGAGGAAAATGAGTTCGATTTCGAGAGTTGTCACGCTCTAAAACAGTGCTTGTTGAATGTTCTCTATCCATTTTTCTCTACTTTTCCTTTATCAATTTCAATTGTTTTTCCATGTTATGCGTCAATCCAATCAACAAGCAACTTCTTCATGCAGCTTGTTGTTTTATATGATGATATGTTTCTGGTCAAAGAATAGAAAGCAAAATTTCAAGAGCAAAATTCTTATTTCATTTTCTCAATCCGACATCATTCTTTCTTCACCTCCAATCTAATGAAAAACTGAAGAATGTGGTTCGGTTTACACATGTATAAAAGAAAATATGTATGTACATGCAAATGTATATACGATATGTTACCTTATTCAGAAGCTTTGCAAAGCAGCAGATGCCCTAAAGAAGAAAACCCAGGTTGAAAACCAGCAAAACCCATCAAAGATAAACAAGAAAGAAAAACATGAAACTGCAATTTATCCACCATTGAAAATTTTAATGAAATAAGTATTAGTTTCTTGTTGCAGAATATTTTGGAAATGAATATATATATATATATATATATATATATATACACACATCAACATATACAAGAAGATAAAGGAAACTTTTGTAGGAAAATTGCAAACCGATACTTGCGTGGTTTCTTAGAATCTCCCACCAATTTTTTTTTTCCAATAATTGAATAAAATAAATTATAAATATAAAAAGATTTGAATTTAGAAAAATAATAAAAATGTGGTTGTTATTCAATAATAAAACATATGACTTGAATGTAAAAAATTAAACTTTTGAAGAGGGAATTTATGAGGTGAAAGAGTGAAAAGAGGGAATTTTGGATTTGCAGAAACATAACAACCAACGAGTTTTTTCGTCACCTATTTTTTTTTTTTTTTTTTTTATCTAATTCAAATTTAGAATTTAGGTTCTCTAAATTTAAATAAAATATTAGTGAAAAAGTTCAAAATTTTCTCTTTTAATAAACTGACAGTTTACTCGTAACTCATATTTAGCTAACAATTCAACTAACCTATTATTAAAATTATATTATTTTAAAAATGTATCTAAAATGATAGAAATTGTATTTATAAGAAATTTCATATAAGAGTTAAACAATATGTTCTTCATCTTCACACTCCAAACTCCAATTGTCCAACCACGAGTCGGTGAGACCATCTTTGGTTTAACATTCAGAAGGCTTTCGCTTCAACTCTCCTCCCCCCTTCAGCTTCCATTGTGCTTTCATCACAGCAGGCAAATCATTTGACTTATTTTTTCATTTTTTTTGTGTCCTCTTATTTGGTTTCAACAAATATCTAGTCTGGGTTTTAAAAAGTTAACCCGCACGATGTAAGAAAATAACTTTTTTATATAAAGTCACTTCGATACTCGCAGAAAATTGTAAAGAACTATAAAACATTAGGGCTTTCGGTACTGGCTTTCTTCACAACTAATTTTCTATTAACCCTAATTTGTTGGAACCGATCATTGGTGTTTCTCACTAAATATGCGGCATTAGGGTTTTGACTATCAAGTTATGCATATAACTATATCATGAATACAACTAGAAAGGGCTCATACAATATTCAAACAGAAACATATAAACTTTCCCTTTTATGATTCATATATTTCAAACACAAGTTTATTATCAGTTCAAATCATCATAATGCATGCACTTTACAAACAAGAGTCTAGAGGGATGTCTGCCATTAATAAATAGAAAAAAAAAAAAGAACAGAAAAGAAAAGAAAACAATGGCAATGTCAATTATTATTTCCACAATACAAAGGTTATACAGAGTTCAGTCGAAACCAATACATCTGAAAACATTGGCAACCCAACACATCAGAAGACACGTGCAACAATCACGCTATTAATTAAACGAACAATAACAGCTACTAGCAATATCGCTCGCATGTAATCTATTAACGTCTTATAGTACTCAAGTAATTATGTACTAATCATTTAGCAATGGATAAGTTTATTTCAAAAAAACAAAAACCATGTATGAGTCAAATAGAATTCTTTAAAGTCAGTACATGCTATATTGACGAAAGCGAATGATTCACCAATTTAACAAATTTGTCCTACACTTCTTTCCTGCCTAGGAAAGGATATAAGTAGACATAAATATAGGCCTAACGGATTAAGCCCCACTTCTAGTGCATGTCATCGGTAACCTAAAGTTTGAAGTAAATAAATGTGCAAGCCTTTGCATCCATGCAAAAATCAGAAATTTGTTCACCCCTTCATTTATTCACTACAAATCCTAAAGAGGCAAATTCAGTCACATGTGCTCAGTAGAAAGATTGATTCTTGCTTCAAAATGGTCTATCCCACTTGTACTTTGCCGTTTTGTGCTCCGAAGAATTGAAGCCTGAAAGACAATATTTTGAACAACTCATAATGTGCAACAAATGATATGGAATATAGTCTACAAATGACAAGAGCTTGATGATAAAATGTGGAATATGGATCACGCAGAATATAAGGTCATATAAATCTAACAGTAGCAGAAGTAGATGATAAACCTCATTTGTTATTAATTATATGTTATAGCTCTGCCTTATACAAGAATATGTACATGATAAATTTATTTATAAACTGTGACATATTGCGGTTAAATAGATCTTCCACTGTCTTTTAACAGTCTGTTCTGCATCGTTAGGATAATTGTTTATAACGTATCTCTACCGCTACCTTTGCTACCTTGCTATCAATTTGAGAATCTTATTTCAAGGGCAAAAACTTGGTTGATTGCATTGATATGCATGCATCAAGAAAAAAAAATGCACCTCTGTTTGGAATGTATTTATTTCTACAAGGTTAATTTCTATCATCTTAAATGAGATTTAAGCCTCTCCTACTTAAATAGATGTTCATTTCCAAACGAAGTCTACAGATATTCTTGATTCGTATTAAACATGGCTAATATGAGAAGTGGGAGCAACATGTAACAGTTTTGTTTTTTGACACTCCTGCTGTTGTGATTGTATGGGAAATCAGCTTCAGATGTATGCTGCGATAGCCTGTCTACAATTGCCAAAGCTTAAAAGAAAATATCATGCAAAACAGAGACTGAAAAGATGGACATACTCTGGGCTTTTCCATAGAATTTCCAAAATATCCTATGCCGAAAGACATTGATGAGTATGCAGCTGCTATCTCTATTGCTTTCAGTTTTGGTGGACTTCCGGGAACCTAGCAATAATAAGCAAGATACAGTTACAAAACAAGAAAAAACAAATTGTATACCTTTTTCTTAGTCTAATTTTGGAACAGATCCAAAAATATTGTGGAATTTATTCACAGATCTACCCCTGGTTCAATTAGGAGAGTCTAAACTGTATCAGGATAATTAAAAAATGACTCAAAATTGAGGCAAAAAATTGACTGAATTTGGCATCTAATGTCTCAATTCCACATCATCAATTTTTTTCTATTTTAAGAAATATTTTTACCATATTCTAATTGAAGCATGTGGATTGTAAATGAATTACATGAATTATCTTGATTTATTCCAAATATTGGCTTAAAATGAGAAAAAATGAAGCAGGGATTTTAATAAGTTCACCATCACAGGAGCATCTGCCTGCACAAGTAAAATCCCAGCACTTCTATCGGTACCACTGTGGATGCTGTCTTGAACAACAGAGCGGAGGATTTTCAGGCAAGCAGAGGCAGGACCAGCCTGCGAGCTAAGCATGATACAGCCTTAATCAGTATCCCATACTAAGCTACATTTGGCTCTTTACAGCATTATTATACGGACTTATGTTAGCAAAGTAATAAAGTACTAGAATATAAAGCACCAAGCCTGGCAAACATGTAAAATCTTAAGCAATAAAACAGAGAGGCAGCATTTTAGGTCAAAAATGAATGGAAAAGCTCTGTCAACTTGACTTAACCTTCAAAGGTCAGGACAAGTCAGTTTTAGATGATATTTAGCTTTTGCTAAACTTTTTCTTAGGTAAATGAACTTCTGAGAGTTTAAAAATAAAATTAAGTGTTAAATTCCTATTTGTATTCCACACAATCAATTAGTGAACCCATCTTCTGACAATAGAACTTCACCTTTCTCAGTCATTCAAATGAGTGTAAGCTATGGATGTAAGAGTAGGAAAATTTTCAAAATTGTCTTTTTTCTTGGACAAAACTTCTTTTGATTAGTTCACAAAAGCATCAGTACATGCAAAGCTACCAGCCCCATCATCTAAACTTTTACCAGAGTACTCTTCAACTTTCCACAAAAAAGATATTTTATTAGCATTTTATTTTGGATTTGCATATTCAAATTATCAGATGGTTATCCTAATACAAGTACATTTCCCCAGGGAATTTACCTTAAATTTAGCCAACCAAATGACCAATCCATGCATATATTTGACAAACACAGAATAAAAATTTCAGGTCAAACTTGATTATGCCCAAATGAATAAAAATGAAGGGAGTTTAAGATATGCAACATCAAAATTAGATACAGCAGGTTTAATATTACAAAAAAAATTAACAATTTCTCCAAACATTCAAAGAAAGAGAATCATGAAACAAGCTAACATAAAAGATGTGACATGCAACAGACTAGCATAAACAAAAATGCCTTTTCATTTCTTCGAATCAGGAAACAAAAGTTATGATTATGTAACAGGAAAGTAATGATACAGTGATAAGGAGACGCAGCATTCCCGAGCTGCAAAGCCTTTCATCAAGTTTTCTCCAGCACCAGTAACACAACACCCAACCATAAATGGAGCCCCGAAAGGTCCTTTCGACAATGCCCAACAACCTGAACCATAGATGGCTGCTAATCCCACACGCCCACTTACCTGTTACATTTTTTGAAAGACAGAAATTAAATAACCTCACAACCAACATAATTACTCCAGAAGAATACCTTTTAAGAATTAACTACTACCTTCAGTGCAATACCACCACTGGACGCCCCAGATGCAACATGTCCTTCAGTGTCCACACAAATAACTCCAACAGTGTCCATGATGCTGTCGTCTTCCAAAGCACTTGGCAGAGAGGATTGATTAGCCCCATCCCCTCGCAAAGGAATACAATTATGAGCTTCTTGGTCTGAAACCCAGTGACAAGTTTCAGTTACCAGTAAAATTCATATTTAATAAAGCCTGCTGAAAGGGATAAAGGTGGAAATGAAAGTGAACAACATCAAAGCAACGTAAAAGGTTATTCACCAATTTAATCATGTACTGGACAGACCAACTGCCACGTGATGGCATACAGTATTTAAGTGATAGACACGAATAATACTCAATATAAGCAACAGCATTACTGCAAAGTGAGTGAATGATATTCTTGTTTTGCTTTTGGAATAGAAAGATAATTTTAACACTCATTGATGGTTCTGTATGGAAGTGATTGATTTGTTTGACAAATAAAAGCAACAGAAAACCTGATAGTGTTGCATTCCCCTGTGCATCAGAATATCCTTCAGCAGTACTTTTTTCAGCATTGGCATTGACAAGCATTGTCTTATACCTTTTCCACTGCATTCTTGCCCTATCTGTCACTAGCCACTGTTTCAAAACATCCAGTATCTTAATCAAGTCATCCAAACAAACAAGCTTTAATTTTCTAGATAGAACATTATCTTCCAAAAACATAATATATAACAACAATAATATCTGAACAGCAACATCTCTATGCTAAAACTAGCTGCACCTTATCAGCCTCTATTCTAGTTTCCAGTAGAGCAATGCCTTTGGCCTTTGCCCATACGCGAGCACCTTCACCAACCAAGAACCTGAAGATACATGAAATTTTCCCACAAGTTGTGGATAAGGAACAGAAAACGTTGACACCATGAGGTGTAATTAATAATCATAAAGTGGAACACAAAGAAATGTTGGATTTTTATCCCCCAAACAACATAGGAATATGAGCTACTGCAAAGCTAACATGTACTATAGCAGACACAATCAGATTTTCTAACCACTCAAAATAATTATGAAAAGAATCAGATTACTCAATGCAAAATTTACAAAGCCATATTGATTTTCTTTCAAACTGATGAAATGTCCTGCACCTACAAAATGCGATTGTAATGACACAATATGGCCACCTTAACAAAGTATTAATTATGCACACTCATATGGTAATACTTCTGCAAACCATATAAGGAGAAGGATAAGGATATTATAATATCAAAGGAGGTTATGGAATCGAAAATATATCTTCATGAATTTCATAAAACCAATGCAAATCAAATATATTTTGTTATATCACTTGAAATTTGATCTAACCATGACAACCACATAGCAGATGTGGCAAGGAAGGCAAAGCCACTCCGTTTAATTAGGCATCACAAGGGGCTGGCTTGTTCTGCCCTCCTTTCTTACAGAAACCATAATCTTACATGACAAAAATTGGAATGTAAATATCCAAACATGATAAAATGCTAACTTTTGGAGGAAAAAGGGGAAAGAGAAACCAAGATTGCCAGAGAAAAAGAGGCATAACAGTCTAACAGCACCATATAAAAGCTAAGTAGTAAGTATTACATTGGTGGTATTCGACCCAACAATGATGACCCCATCATTTGCTCCTTGACCAAGACAGCAGCAATCTGAATAGCATTCGGGACACCTGGTCTACAACTATGAAATAGATACCAAGTAACTTCATGGAAAGGATAGAGTACAGAAAGAACTTGTGCGCTAGAAACAATTGCTGGTACAACAATTTGCTGATACAACAATAAGAATAAACTTCCAAAAAATCCTGGCTCTCAAACTACCTGGCACTGCTCCAACAGCTCCAAAAGCTCCAGAATCACCATCTATAAGACTGGCATCACATTCCACGTGCCCATCTTCTGTCAAATTGGAGCCTCGGCCAGCATTTGTGCTTGGATCATCCTTTAACAACATAAAGTCGCATTAGGATGAGATAGCTACAGGGCCTTGGTATTCAAGGGAAAACAGGATTGGGAAAAAGCCCATGAGTATGAAATAAAACTCTTGAGATACAGAAATGCTGCCTTCTTAGTGGCATATCTTATCCCTCATATATAAGTAAATAAATGAAGTAAATGAAAAGCAATCTGCCACGAGTCTGGAGATACAATAGCAGCAAAATATTAGAAATACACCAGCTGTGAGGTAGGAAAATAATAACTGGAGCAGAACAATTATTTTTCTTGTTTTCGAATTCCTTCTGCGACAAATCCACTTGAGGTAGAAAAGGCAAAAAAGAAATGAGGTGCACAAAATTGAACTCTCAATCGGAACTTTCCATTTTCCATCATAAAGTGATTTTGGTTTAGTCATTGATACAGATTTATACAAAATTTTTCAATGTGGAACATGAATTTAGTTTACAACATAGTGATCAATTTCCGTCAAGCTGTAAGTTAAACTGAAATTATCACAACAATTTCCCTTCCAAAGGTACCAAGTAGGATAACAATCTAATAGTGCTATAAATTTACATATAAGCACAACAAAGCTTTCACCGGGAATGCATGTGTATCTATGTATAATACCTCTAAGACCTTAAGGGCAGCTGCAACAGCATCTACGCATCCACCAGGACCCTAAATTTTAAGAAACAAAAATAAATAAACTAGAGGCAAGACATCTATAACGAATTAATTTCGACTGAAATTTATCAAAATAGTGAAATAAAAAATCACATCACGTAATAACGTGACAAAGCTAAAGAAATACTAAGTTGTCCAACTCCAGTACGATGACCATGGCCACGGTCATCGCACATTATTTTAAAGTTTTGATTTAGAGCATAGCATCTAAATTCAGCGATGGATAACCAAATTGACTAGAGATTCCGAGGAAGAAAAGTTGACCTTGCGAAGAATGGCAGTCGCAGCAAGGCAAGCACGTTTCATAGCGGACCTGAGAGCTTTCTCATTAGACGGCGCGTGAAATCCAGCACCAACATGTACTGCCACGAAAAACTTGGGGCTTTCTTCTCTTGCAACGCTAGCCATCGAGTATATGGTGTATTGAAGAAGTAATCAGTTAGGGCAAATAACCAGAGTTGGATTCTCTCAGTCGGCTCAGGGTAGAGCTTTAATTTCAGACTCAACGCTAGCGGTCGACTCCTTTGAATGGGGACGAATATGTTTGCGCGCGGCATCTGTTGTGTTTTTTTATTTTTTTATTTTCATAAATTATATATTTTTTAAAAAAATTCGTCCCTAATTATAAATTTGGTCAATAATATTTATTAATAATAATTGAACCTTTAATTTAATTTTTTTTATATTTTTTAATAAAAAAACTAAAATTCTTATCTTATATTTGTACGCTTCAAAAACATTTCAAAAAATAGTTTTATTTAATAAATAAATTAATTAATTGGTAACTATATAAAATACGTTGACGTTGGTATCACGCAAGATGCCACGTGGGTGATCCGCGTGCTCCGCAATCCAACGACCTAGGATCGATCTCGCGCACGTGAACGGTCTGGATTTGCTCACCTTTTAAACGCGATTAAATGGTTGAGATCAAATCGCGATCAACGATCTAGATTTATTTCCTTCTTAAATGTGATCGGACGGTCAAGATCAAATTGCGATGGACGGTCTAGATTTATTTTCTTCTTAAGCGCGACCAGACGGACGAGATCGATCGCGATGGACGACCTAGAGAATTAATTTTAGATATGTTTTGTTTTCTAAACTGAATTATCCTAAACAGGAAAGTAGCCACACCCTTCAACATTTTCCTAATTGAGAGCGTTATCAAGACAAACCCAACACAAAACAAGCAGGTGGACTTGAGGCTCAAGAAGGAACCTGTGGACTTGAGAACTCGCTTGGAAGGAGATGGGCGAAGCCTTGATTCAAATCAAAGATGAAGCAAGGTGTTGATCGAAAGCGAAAAGCTTCAAGGGAGGCTCTGTGAAGAACAAACTTAGAGAGAGAAAGTTGAGGAGAGAGAGAGGGCAGCAAAATAGAACAAACTCATGCAACTGCCTCTGTTTTGCTGTTTTGAAGAGGAATGTTTTTTTCGGGAGAGAAGGAGTTGATCTCTTCTTTTTATTTCAACATATATATATATAGAAATATAAATTTAAACTGATTACATCAACTAAATGATTAAATCAGATCGTCCGAAAATCATGCATACATATCGCATGAAATTTACGTATCCTACTGTGATACAACTTCACGGTAGATTTCCCTTTTTTTTTTTTTGAATTTAAACTTAACAGAAAAAATCATTACTTTTAACACTCCCCCTTAATGAATTTTTTCACCAATCCCCACCTTTTTCCGCAAATCCTCAAATTTAGCTTTAGACAGGGCCTTGGTTAGAATGTCCGCAAGCTGATCATCGGTGGAGCAATGTATCAGCTTTATTTCTTGATTCCTCTCAGCCTCACGTATAGCATGATACTTAACGTTGATGTGTTTAGTTCTCTCGTGCATTACAGGATTTTTTGCAATGGCAATTGCAGACTTGTTGTCTACATACAACACTGTAGGTGTTTGTTTGTCCAGCTTTAAATCGTTGAACACCTTCCTCAATCAAATTGCTTGGTTAGTTGCTGTAGCTGCGGCTACATACTCAGCCTCAGCTGTGGATTGAGCCACAGTATCCTGTTTCTTAGATGCCCATGAAAAAACACCGGAGCCTATTTTGAACAAGTACCCAGTTGTGCTGCGTGCATCTTTTACGCTTCCTGCTCAATCACTGTCACTGTAGCCGACTAATCCACCCTCAACTCTTGCTTTGAATTGAACACCAAAATTCTAGGTTCCTTTCAAGTACCTCAACACATGTTTGGCAGCTTGTAAGTGTGATTCCCTCGGTGAAGCCATGTACCTTGAAAGTAAACTCACTGCAAACAAAATGTCTGGTCTGGTAGCTGTGAGATACAGAAGGCTCCCAATCAGACTTCTGTAATTTCCCTCTTCGACTTTGCTACCTTTCTCGTCCTTTGACAATTTCAGGTTGGACACCAGTGGTGTAGATAATGATTTACAGTGATTCATGTTGAATTTATTTAGAATTTCTTTGGCATACTTGCCTTGTGAAAGAAAAATACCCAAGCTGCTTTGATGAATCTCCATTCCCAGAAAGTAGGTAGCTTCCCCAAGATCAGACATCTCAAATTCCTTTTCCAATTTCAGCTTGAACTCTATCATTTTCCTTTTGTTGTTGTCTGTCACCAGTATACCATCAAGATATACTGCAGTGATAAGTCGGTCTTCTTCTCTATTCACATACAGTGTGTTTTTTGTCATGCTTCTCTCAAACCCACAGTGAAGTAAGTATGTATTTAACTTATCATATCAGGCTCGTGGAGCCTGTTTGAGGCCGTATAGGGCCTTGTGAAGAAGATAGACGTGAATCTCCTTTCCAGGTTGAATGAACCCCGGTGGCTGCTCAACATAAATTTCTTCATTCAGCTTGCCATTCAAAAAAGCCGATTTCACATCCAAGTGCATCACACTCCAACCAAACTCAGCTGCCATGGCCAGAATGAGTCTAATTGTTTCATATCTGGCCACAGGAGCAAAGGTTTCTGTGTAGTCGATTCCTGGAAGCTGGGAGTATCCCTTTGCCACAAGCCGTGCCTTGTGCTTATTTGTTGTCCCGTCCGGATTGAGTTTTACTTTGAACACCCACTTTACTCCAATTGGTTTTTTGTTTGTACTTAATTTTACCAGAGACCAAATATTGTTTTTGTCAATCATCCTGATTTCCTCTTTTATAGCAAGTCTCCACTCTTACTGCTGAAGTGCTTCCTCAACAGAGAAAGGTTCTTTTGAGGCAAAACTGCACCTTTCATAGATGTTAGCTAGATTTTCAATTTTATTCTCCCTTTTGCTTCACATTCTTCATCTTCTTCATCACTCTGAGTTGGGTTTGATACTGTCATTGATTTCTTTCATTCTTCAAATGTAACATAGTCTCGTTTGACTTTCTGTTTCTCCCAATTCCAGTAGCTGTTTTCATCCACCGTTACATTTCTTCGAATCATAAGCTTGTTGGTTTTCAGGTTTAGAATTCTGTATGCTTTTGCTTCAGTACTGTATTCCAAAAATACTCACAACTCGGCCTTCATTTTTAGCTTGGATCTCCTGTCATCCGAGACATGGCAGTAGCACATTGATCTAAACACCTTTAGATACTTAGTTGATGGTTTGATGCCACTCCAGGCCTCTACCGGTGTCATCTACTTTACAGCCTTTGTAGGCAGCATGTTGAGCAGGAACACAACAGTGTTCACTGCCTCAGCCCACAAGGCTTTAGGCAGGTGCTTGTCAGCAAGCATGCTTCTTGCCATTTCCATAATGGTTCTGTTCTTCCTCTCCGAGACACCATTTTGTTGAGGAGAATATGGTGTCGTGAGCTTCCTTTTGATCCCATTCTCATAACAGAAATCATTGAATTGGCTGGAATTGAATTCAAGCCCATTATCTGTCCTTAGGCACCTCAGTACACTGCTACTTTCCTTCTCTGCAATAACCTTGAACTTTTTGAATTCACCAAAAATTTGAGCTTTATTCTGCAGGAAACAAACCCAAATCATCTTGGAAAAATCATCTATGAACAAGCCAAAATACCTGCAACCACTCATGAAACTTTCTGTCATTGGACCACAAATGTCAAAATGGATAAGTGCCAACTTCTCTTTTGCTCTCCAATCTGCTTGCGAAGGAAATGAATTCCTTGCCAATTTCCCCATCTGACATGCATCACATACTGTCTCAGTGACTGCAATATTTGGGAAGTCCTTGGTTAGACCTCCCTTTTGTAGTTGTTGTAGCCCAGCCGCATGAAAATGCCCAAGGCGCCTGTGCCAAATCTCACCTTCAGTTACGGAGGCAACACTGGCTCTCTCAATTACTTCTCTGAGTTTCAAGGAGTAGACTTGATTCTTCTTTTGGATGAAAGCAATCAAGTGATCCTCAGGATCATATATCCTGCAGCAGTTATCATTGAATCCAACCGAGTAGCTTCGATCAGTCATCTGATTCACACTAAGAAGATTCTGTGAGAGGGTAGGAATAAAATTTACATCAGTGATAAGTTTTCTGCCTTTCTTGGTTTCAATAGCAATGTTGTCTTTGCCCTTAATGGTTTCCAGCATGCCATTTCCAAGTCTTACTTGGCCTGTTACTGATTTGTCAAGTAACACAAACATGGCTTCATTCTTGCACATGTGAGAAGTGCAACCACTATCAACAACCCAGAGGCTGTTGTCTTCCACTGTCAATTCACTTGAAGCAACAAGAATTGTATTATTTTGCTCACTGGATATCTCAGTGACATTTACATGTTGCAACTCTTGCTTAGATTGTGCAGCTTCCAGCTTTTGTTTTTGCCTACAGAACTTCTCCTTATGGCCAAGTCTTTTGCAGAAGTTGCATTGGACAGTTTTCTTTCCCTTATAACAGCATTCACTCTCTAAATGATTTGTGAGGGAGCAGATGTTGCAAGGAGGATACTTCTTCTGTTTTCTGGAACTTTGGTTTCCAGTTTGATTTCCTCCATTCCTTCTGCCTTGATACTGATTTGAAGGGGTAGCTTTAGTTTGAGACGAGAATAAGGCTCCTTCAATAGGTACACGAGCATGCATGTTGACACGTTGCTCCTGTGATTGCAGCTTATTGATTAGTTCAGTTGAAGAAATCTTATCAATATCTGCAAGTTCCTCCAAGGCTGAGATTTTAGACTCAAATTTTGGTGGTAAGCTTATAAGAATGTGTTCTACCACCCTTGATTCAGGAAAGTCCTCCCCCAACAATCTCATTTTATTCACAATATCCGAGAGTTTGGAGGCATAGTCCCTAACAGACTCATTTTCTTGCATTCTGAGTAATGCAAATTCATTTTTTAGCCTCAGTAGTTTGATCTTCTTGCTTCTGTCTCCTCCATCAACTCTTCCTTCAGTTTCTCCCACGCTTCCTTGGGTGATTCATAGTCATAATCCTAGAGAAAACCCTGTCCGAAACCGCTGAGAAGAGGCAGGCAATTGCTTTTGGTTTCTTGGCCTTCTCTTCCTCGTGTCTTTTAATCTGGTTCAATGTAGCAGTTTCTTGTAGTGGGGTTGGTTCACTATCGTCTATAATAACATCCCATAAACCCAGAGCTTTG